TGCCCAGGCTTTAGGTGCCTTACGGTCTCCCTTCTCTTGGTACATGCTTCCAGAGCACATGTCCTTTTCCTCCAGTTTGGCGACCCGGCGGTTCGGCTGGTGTGTCCCCCCTTCTAAGGACCTGGTTCTTGAATTAATTAAGTAAGTATAAATATTATATATTATAATGAAAGTTATATCAAGCTATATATATATTTTTGGTACCTAATTTAAGTAGTTTATCTAAAGATTTTATACTATTTATCATACTTGCAACTTGACTACAAGGTTATCTATTTAAACTTTCTGATTACAATATATTTGTCTATTATATTTAATACAAATATAACTTACTATATTATATATAAATTTTGTAATACTATTATATTTACTAGCTATCTTAAAAACAACCTTCTTATCATATCTAAAAAAATTTTTCTCTTTTGTGATTTTTGGCTAATCAAATTTCAAGATCAGATATAATATAAACAAACAAAGCAAAACTATTTTTTACAAATAAACTAAAATAACTCAAAATTTTAATTAAAAAACTACTTTTTGCAATCTAATTAAAAATATTTCTTGTAAAATTTTACTAATAGCAATAATCCTAACTTTACCTCTAACTCCATACTATTCTTGCTCTAATTCTAATTATAATGCGGTTTTATAAATTACAGAGTTAGAAAAATTTTTGTGAGTATGCTATCTAAAATTCTAAAAACTACTTTATTCTTGAGTTAAATTTAACAGAAAAATATATGTTCTATATATATATTTACTTGTATATTTAGTAAAGAAGCAAACAAAAATCAGCTAATTTTTTAAAAGAGAAGTTTAGAGATCTATAATATACTATATAACTTTTTATTAATTAAAAAGAAGAAAAGAAGTAGAATTTATAGTAAATTAAAATTAGCTAATTTTTGTTTATATTCTAACTTCTTTCTAACTTGTATCTGTTATATTACTATTATTAAATTTATATCTCAAGCTATCTTTTAAGATACTGCTATAATCTGATCTATATCTCAAGCTACAACTTTTTTAATTAGTTTCCTGTTACTCGCTCTTTGCCTTTATAAAATTTACAACAACTCTAATATTTATATTTAGATTTTCTTTTTTTTTAGATTCTTTATTAATCTTTTTTTTATTTCTAGTTAGCAATTTAAAAAAGTTAGTTTGTTTAGGCTTTAGATATTACATAATTGTTCTTTTCTTAGTACATGCTTTTAAAATATATATTCTTTTTCTCTAGTTGGTGATCTGGCAATTTAGCTAGTATATTCTTTTACTTAAAGATCTGGTTATTTGGTTTTTTGATCTCTGTTCTCAGTTCTAAATTTAGCTTTCTTGTAGTATCATTAAAGATTACTACTATCTTCTAACTTAAGACTTGCTAAATATGTTTTTAATAATTCTAGTTCTTTAAATTTATTATACTAAAGCTTCTATTTAAGATAATATAATCAAGGTTACAAATTTCTAAACCCAACTAATCATCATAGCTATTAACTATATTACAAAACTAATTTTTAAAATTATTATTTGTGGAATTTAAACTCTAGACTTGCTATTTGAAGTGTAATAACTTTATCACTTCACTAAATTGCTATATCTTTTATAATTTTTTTTTAATTCTATAATTATTTATTAAAAAATTATATAAAAGTTTATATATATTTATTGTATTATATATATATATATATATTTTGGTAATCAGTGTAGGGTTACTTATTAGCAAAAGATTAGAGAAATATATTGGAAAAGTAGAAAAGTTAAATAAATTTCTATTAATTGTAAGCTTTTATTTACCAAACAACATTATGCTCTTGGTCATAGTAACATACCTCCACCAAGCAATAAAAGAAATTTTGGCTAAGATTCGTGACAAGATTACATTTTATGAAAGAACAAATTTTGTAATCTTAATGGGGGACTTTAATCACGTAGTAGAACCGCAATTAGACCGGGCAGGGCATCATCAATACAAAAGAATTTATTACTACATTGATAGCTAATATCTAGAGAGTACAAGAACTCTTTTAGACTTTGCAACCCAGAAAGTAAAAAATATACATAGAGTAATTCTACAACAGCAACAAGAATAGATCAGATCTGGATAGCGAATTGTCTAGCTCAACATGTTGAGACAGCAAATATTATTGAGATACAAACAATTACGAGGAGTGATCATAAGGTGGCTTTTGTTGATATCAAAATAAAGCCACACAGAAACCCAGAAGAAGTTGCACCAAGTGAGATATATTCAGCAGTGCAAGTAAAGTGATTACTTGACCAGACAAAAGAGAAGGATTGGCAGAGTTATAGAGCAACATTGTGGAAGCTTTTAGATAGCAAAATTCTGCCCTTTCTAAAGGAGCATTATATAGACATAGACATAGCTTCTTCACCAAATATGTTGGATAGAGTTAACCAAGTATGAGGAATTATTAAAGAGGCTATTATTAAATCAGCAAAGCAAAATCTTCCAAATAAGAAAATCAGACCTTCAAAGAGAGCTGTTAGGAAAAAAAAAAAGAAAAACTTGTGGTTGATAGCTACACAGAATTTGGAAAAGATTATAAGAGATATTAAAAGAGCAAAAAATCTACCTAATAGCAGCTCAGTTTTGCAATGGAACAGAGATTTGGAGAAAATAAACAAGTTGACAGGTAGTGAAATCACATTGGTCACCGACTTCATTACTGAAAGCTGGTTAGAAGAAGCAAAGGTATGATGAAAAACTTTTGAAGGCAAAGTAGTCACCGAAGAAAATATGCGAATCAAGAAAGAAATTAAAGTATGTGTTGAAAGAAGAGTACAAATGATTGTTAAGGAGCAAAAATAAATACTAACAAGCCTGCTAGAAAAATCAACCTCCAAAGTAACAATTGACAGAGTTTATACCAAAGAGGCAGAGAGTGCTCGGCTAGAAACGAAACCTAAAGAGGTGCTTAGGATTACCGAAGAGCACTTCCAAAATCAGTTTCGTAAAAGAAATACAAACATGGCCTTGCTAAATGGAGATTGGCACCAAGAATATAGTTCTATTGCATGGGTACAAGAGAATTGGTATGACTCATTACTCGAGCCAATCGAATTAGAAGAGTGGGAAGCAGTATTAAGGAATAGCAAGTCGAACTCAGCCCCAGGGATCTCAACAATCACATACTTATTTATCAAGCAGGCAGACAATAGAACACAAATTATTTTTAAAAACTTCGCAAATTTGTGTGTCTGCAGTGGGGTAATACCAGATAAGTGGAAAGTAGCACAGGTGTATTCGATACCAAAGGGAATGGATTGGGAGTACGATCTAAACAAGATACGCCCAATAGCTTTGCTAGAAACATTTCGCAAGTGTACAACCAAAGTGTTAACAAAGCGTCTCAGCAAGATTATAAGTGAAAAGGCAATATTACAAGGTCCAAACTTCGCGGGTTTACCTGGTAACTCAACTGAAGAGCCAATTCAAATATTAAATGCAGTAATAGAAGAGGCTAAAGAGCAGAATAAGGAGTTATGGGTCCTTTTCTAGGATATGAAGAAAGCATATGACTCAGTAAACCTTGAGATGTTGCAGAAAGTCCTCGAGAGAATCAAAGTCCTACTGATTATTTGTAGTTTTATCCTAAACCTTTTCAGAGACAGAAAGCTCAGAATAATTACAAATTTTGTCCTTACCGAAGAGATTGCTGCTGAAGATGGTATAGATCAAGGAGAAGTTATTTCTCCCCTGATCTGGAGAATTTTTTATGATCTGTTGCTTAACAGGATACAGAAAGACAAGGAACTGGGATACACCCTCAAGCCATACGACAAAATGAAAACATTGATGGACTTAGATCATACAGAAGAGATCAGACAAGCGGCATTAGTCTATGCTGATGATACAGCCTGGTTAGCAAATTCAAAGCAACAACTGGAACGTATAATAGCTTTGGCTAAACAATTTTTTAAGTTAAATGATATTAAAATAAATGGAAACAAATCCAAGCTAGTAGTGGTTAACTTGGGTTTGGC